AGGGGGTAAGCTGTTTACATTACTTTGTAAATGTTCTTTATGCAGTTGTCTGCTAAATAAGTCTGCAATAAAGAGATTCTAATTCTAATCTGTTCGAAATGATCAAAACTTAGCTGAGATGTTATAATAAAGTAAAGATTTAAACCCGATTCCTCTAAATATTTTGTCAAGCATTTTTTTACTCCAACACCACACGTGTATTTGTTTTACCCCCCCCCCCCCAAAATACAAGTAAATACTAGTATTTTAAACTTGTGATTATCCATGATTGATCACAGCCTTTTATTGTGATTAACTTGAATACATTCTTTAAATCGATTGACACCACTAATTATAATCCAACTCTGCAGTTTCCCTCAACTCCACAGAGCTTTTTAGTCTTAGTACTTGGTGGAGCAGCTAAACAGGCAGATCCTTCCTTCAGGAGTTGGTGGTGACCAGCACAGAGCTAAACTGTGAACTGGAGAGTGAACATTGGACTTGCATTATATATGTGTGTGTGTGTGTCTCTGAACCATAGACTCGAATATGAAAATGTAAAAAATATCAGTTTTGTCCAAAGGGTGGTGCTAAAAGACAGGCTATCAGGACATCACATGCCCTGGGAAGTGTGAACAATTATCTCATGGCAATCTTACTGTACTTCTTTTGATCATCATCTAATCACCTAAAGTAATAGCATCCATTTTCTGGCAACCATGAATATACACAGCACATTTCCCTTAAATATAGCTTCGTTTTCAAGATACAATATCAAGAATGTGTCATGGACCATGTGTCCGAGAGAACTGTTTGACCTAGACAGAAGAGTGGTCACTTAACTTAATATGAATGATGGGAATCATGTTCTGGAAACCATGAACTTCCATACTAAATTTCATTACAATGTGGCCTGTAGTTACTACTCAGGACTACAGCACTGGATGGACAGAAAGCCCGACCTCGCCATAAACACGAAGTCTCTATCAGGGCAAAAACATGTGCAGGTAATTATGTTTTTCCAAATCCCTCACCCTAAAGAACTGAACTAGGTTTCACTTACATTTTTATTTCTGTAATGGTATGAAATAGATTAAAATATATATATATGCTTGGCTAGCTCACCGTGGATCCATAGTGGGTTTGTTGGCAGATTTAAGCTCCTCTAAGGTGGCACACTGCTCCACAAGCAGGTCTGTGGTTTTCTTGACAAGGTCCTCTTCTCCCTCACTTTCTCCCTCGGTGGGACAGGAAACCTGACTCAAGCTACGGAAGGTGTTGGTGAAATCAGCACCTGAAGGGATGAGGGCAGAAAATTTAAATACTTTTATATGCAGTACTGCATGTATAAACTGTATTCTCACATGCTTTGTCTCTCACTAGATTCAGTGCTCTCTCATTAGACTCCCATCCCACCTGTGTTGTGCATGGTCTGCAGCAGCTCAGTGATCAGCATCTCATCCTCAGGCTCGTCCTTCTTCAATAAGCCCAACTTCTTCCTCATGTTCTCTAGGTAGAATCCATTATACAGATCCAGGTACTCGTCCATAACGGCTTCAGCCTGGTCTGGGGGCAGCTCTGGGGCAAGAGCCTCTGCCAGCTTCACTAGGTTCCACCTGCAGATTGCTGGCTGGGCCTGGTAGGAGTATCGGCCGGAGTTGTCAGAGGCATTGCAAATGAAATCTGGATCGAACCTGAGAGAAATAAGGAAAGCTGTTTTCTGTAATCTGATGAGTGATGGAGACTTCGTACCCACAACATGTTCATTATGAGAATGGATCAATCAGACCAACTGTGTCTGACCTGTCCATAAATCCATATGGACCATAGTCCAGCGTGAGTCCCAGGATGCTCATGTTATCTGTGTTCAGGACCCCATGGCAGAAACCTACACACTGCCACTGAGCCACGAGTCGAGCTGTACGGCGCATCACCTACAGCCAGGGAGAAGACAGTAATCTAACATTAGAGTGTTTCAAAAAATATCTGAATCCCCATCAACCCCTGGGGAGTGTGGATAATGTAAATTCTTACTAAATGACTACTTAGATAAGGAAAATGTCAAAAGTCTCCAGAGTCTAATGCCTTGTTAGTATCTTAATCTCATACTGAGCAGAGTGCACAGTGACTCAGCCGCCAGTGAACCATCTACAGCAGCTTAACAGGATAAGAGGATACAAATGTTCTTGGCTGGCTGCAAACTATAACGTTAGGCCTCGAATCGCTACCTGCTAATACACAGTACACTTTGAGAAACACATCAGGCTGTAGACCTGAAATCAGAGATTTGTGCCGTGACAAGTGGGAGAGAGTGGGACTCGTGTGCTCTGACCTCTCTGAAGAAAGCCACGTTCCTCTCCACCCTATCTGGGTAATTCTGCTGGATCTCAGGGTAGAACATCTCAATGACGTAATCCATCATCTGACCTCGGATCTCGTCACGTCCATAGCTGGGACCCTGACGGCCCGTGTGCTCGTCGGCCTGCTTGAAGATCTCAAAGGATCCAAACCTGCTCAGAGAGTGCACAACTAAGACTAGCAAGCTCTTGTGTGTACATCTCAAGAAGCTCAGCCATCCGTGACAGATAGAGAGTAGGCGACAATGTGCGCTCACCTGAGGAAGGTGGGAGCAATACGGAGCACCACAGAGCATCTCTCATGGCGAGGATGCCCGCTGTAGTACACATCCCGTATGACCCTGCTGTCAGAGGTCACTATGGAGCCTGCTCTGGTGGTGGGAACACCCAAGAAGAACATAACCTCGCTGCACAGGAACTCTCTTATACTGGAGCGCAGGACCTTACGGCCATCAGCTTGTCTACGGAGCACAGAATAGATAGAGAAAGGGACATTTTCCTGATTCTGTTGGGACAACCCACATTTCAGCTGTGTCAAAGCTTAATAATCCCTCTGAAACTCATCTGCCACTCTTCAAACACATCTGCTCTTAGGTGATCTGTAAAGCTTCAAAAAGGGGAATTTATGGTTTCACCTCTCTGGTGAAATCTGAATAACCGGTGAGTCCAGCCTTCTCTTCTCTTCCAAATATACATGTAAAATAATCTTGCTAACCCTAATACAAACTGACACAAAAACAAACCCTTGTACCTGGAATAAGGGGTCAGTCCAGCTCCTTTCACCTGAATCTCCCACCGGCCGCTCGGGTTTTCCCGTAGCAGTTCGGGATCTTGTCCGGGTGGCACCTTCACCTCCCCGAGGTAGCATGCCGCCCCGTCGCCCAGCTGCCCGGCGAACTGGCCGAACTGGTGGCCACAGTAGCAGTGAGCGGCGGGCTCGGATCCAGGCATAACTCTGGATCCGCTGAGATACTCTGGCCCGAGCGGATCGTCCATGACCTCCTCTCCGTTGAGCCCCAGCAGCGCCAGGGCTTCGTGTGACACAGCCACGAACCGAGGCTTGGTCAGCGGCTGCGGCTTCACCCGGGAGAAACACGCTCCCTTCACCTGCCGCACCCCCGGCTCCTCGGACGAGTCCAGGGGGAGTTTCTTGAGAGCGACGTTGTCGAAGTCGAGCCGCTCCAGCGGAGAAAGACTCATTGCCAGACCCATGTCGTCCATCCCGACCGTAGCGAGGAGTCTGAACACGGTAACACCGGGGAGAAAGATGCGTAACCGTCCCAGACGAGGTCCTAAATAAGCCATCCAAACACCGCCATCTGCCCGCTTGTACTCGCTGACGCAGTTACAATGTGGTCACTAATCATGCTTTCATAATCCTGCAAGTTACAGCGGATGTTTGCGAGACAGACTGTGTTACATTATTATTTGTCCGACCAGAAACACGCAGTACAAATGGAACTACTTATGACGAAACTAAAATGAATATCAAACTAATATTTAGACAATAATGTTGTCCTCGGTATTTGTTTAAGTAATCCTAACTATACAATAAAATGCCTGGACTCTGATCCATAGGTATCTTAATTATCACTGTGTGGATTCAAATCTTTACAGCTAATGTAATGCAGTGGGGTTTAAAAAAACATCTTTGACACATTTTTACTTAAAATGGTTTAATGATTCATTACAGAAGCTGGGATTTAATATTTTTTTGACAATGACATTACCATACAAGGTTGTGGGGAAACAAGTCTTACAACAAATGCAGGCATCCACACAGTTCTTGGCAATTCTCAGACATACAGTAGATTAAACATTTGGAAATGATGTGGGAGGGTGACAGACACATAATGGTTATGTTTGACTGCATCATACTGCTGAGGGACGGAGAGGCACGAATACACCTGTGCTTAACCTTCTCATTGTCTTTACCTCTTACTTAAGCAGGATAATTAATGTATCAATTGGAAGACGGTTATCTGAGTTACTTTGTGTGTGGATAACAAGTGGTTTAATTAGGTTTGGAAGATGAAATGGCACTGCTTGATTTACTCAAGTCCCATATTAGTTCATTGGCCTATTTCACAAAGTAAAGACAGTAAATTAACTCCTTCCATATCTCTTATGAATACATCTAAATAATGTGAGTGTACTGCTCATAAAATCACTTAAAAATAATATTAGGAAAACCTGGAAATTTATGTTGATTTATAGCCTTGCAACCACGTAAATAGCTGGTTCAGACTGTTGGATTTATTTAGATAATCTCCCACATAAAATTCCAGAAATGTCATCTAGCCAATTTGTACACGTGCAATGAGAAGCTCTATACTATGGCCACAGGTCAGTGTTGGTGATAACAAGCTTCAGCATAGGAGGCAATCTCAGGGTCAAAGGCAGCAGTGATAACAGTGTAAGGCTTTACCTCCCAACACTGACCAATCTAAACTGTCACTTTCCTTCACAGTAGTCATAACAAGTCAACACATTTCCCTCCATGGGAATCCCTCTTAGAAATCATTACAGTCAAGTCCAATCCTTAAGTTGAGGGAAACAAACTAATGAAATTTTTTTTTTTTTTTATCACCTCAATCCCCATTCCCATGTTGCGATTAATGCATATATCATAAAAGTACAAACAGCTGGTGTGCTGAATGACGTTTTTAAAGATGGCTTTCCGTATATGATGCATATTCTTGTGTCATGTATGAACCCTTATTCTAGAGATGGAGCTAGTTCAAGCCAATATGTATGAGTGCCTCATAGTGGAGGTAAATTAAAATACAAATCACCAGATTAATGCATTGCTCGTCCTTCGGCACAGTTAAGCTCGTCCGGCGTCAGGTCCCTGTTGAATGTATGGTGACTAAAATGAATGGGCCATGGAACCGTTTCAACTGCAGCCAAGACAAACACAAACTAGAAAGTCTATATTGATGGCATCAGTATTTATAAAATACGCCTATCATATAATTTCATAAAGACAGTATATTAGAAACTTGCATTGACCATTTGGTTGTAGTACGTATAAGATGCATATAACACAGATCCCCATTTCATTCAGTCCACCATTAGCCCTTAACTGCTGTAATATGAGGCACTTGTCTGTTGATGTGGGCAGGACCGTGCACGTGGGAAATAAGTATATTTTGTCTTATGCTAATCCTGTATGTGAATTTTGAATAATATACATTTCAAATAGTAGATTTTTCAAGAATTAAGAAAATAATGGTCAGCCTACTGATTCACATTTACCTTACACATGCACCAACTATGCAAATGAAAAGTTTTCCTGGTTTATATTTTTGTAATTTGTTACTGTAATTATAGTTATGACTGACTGACTGACTTACTTTATTTTCCATTCCATAGGCTGCATGTAGAGTACACAACTCTACCAGTCTCTGACAAACAGCTGGATTTGGAATTGGCCAATTACAAAAAATGCTGGTTGGCACCAGAGAGGAGGAAGGAATAAGGAAAGAGTATTAGAAAAATGTGCCTCTTGGAAAATGGCTAAGTCATATCAGGGCAGATGACTGAAGAGGATTCCGATGATACAAATAAAAACTCTGAGTGTACGTAATTTAACGAAATGGAGGGGGGAATGTAAATCTATTCAAATTATAGGCATTTGTAAACCTTACAAAATGCGGGATTTGCACAAAATATTAAAGAAAAGAAAAAGTACTGTCGCGGTTTCTTTGGCAGTACAGCCCTGCTGTGTCCACAGGGACATCAATACGAGGTGGGAGGCTTTTAACCCCCTGAGGTCCTTCTTAGTTCATAGTGTGGGCTGGTGAAACCTTTCCTCCAGCCTCACCTCCTGTTTTTAAGGCCACTGGTGATCGATGCATTGTTTTAATAGATCAAAAGGTCGCGTCACTGATGGCTCAGAGAAGACCAGTGGGTTCAAGCAGGGGGTGACCGCAGAGTCTCCAGTAAAGATTGGACCGCAGGTAAGGACAGCACGACTCTACCTAAACTCCCTCCAACACGGTAGCAGGCGTATCCCAGCATTCCCATCATGACACCCTTTATGACTGTGTGCAACACCCAGCTGAAACGCGAGGGAGGTGCAACACTGAGGAAGAGACAGATGGACACATTGAGCGGCTGTAGAATTGAAATATTACTATTACTGACTGAGATGTCCAGTGTCAAGACAAACATACCTAATGATTTCATTAATGTTGAGCTGCTTCTCCCAGTTTCTTTCTATGCCAGGGACGTGGCCCATCCCTACAACTCCCACCACCACAGCAGGCACTTCTACAAAAAAAGCATAAAATGTTGTTACATTTGACAACACATAAATTATCCAGGACAAATGCAAAAAGGGCAACATGATGATTCACAAAGTGAGTTCCTTTGGTCTCATCATGAACACTAAATTAGCTTTTAAGCAACTGTAAGCAATAACAGTTCAAACAAATGTCCCACTGCATTTCCATTAAGTCTCTGCGGCAATCAAACCGCATTCTCATTACTGGTTGGTTAATTATGCAAGAATCTAATAAGAAAGTTGATGATAGATAACACACAGAGGACAGCAGTGATGTCTATATCAACCATGTATGCAATTCCGGTGATACATTTAAAAAGTACAATAAAATCCAAACCATTTAATGTTCAATTCTAATGAGCAATGTATATGACGACAAAATCAACAGACAAAACACTATTTTATGATATGTTTGTGAATGAAAATATTCAATGTATCAACCCATAGATACAATACATGTCACGGAGGAGAGAACCGGATCAGGGAGCTAAAATCAACAACTAAGGAGTCTTGTGATAACTTAGTTCACTAAGTGTGTAATTACTAGTGTAATACGCACTCTGGGCATCAGGGGGGGACTCCACGCAGCGTGTAGCCTGGCGGAGCGTGTGTGTGAGGTAGATGTCTCTTTCAGCCACGATGGTCTGGTGGAGAGCAGGAAACTCGCCGATCATCTCTGACATGGTCTGCTCCAGCAGGTCCTTCTGTTTGCACTTCTCCACGTCCTCTTTACTAAAACATGACACACAGTCCAACACAGTGCTCACGCAGGAAGGAGGATCATTTTTTTGCTTTCCTTTCCCACAGTATTTCAGCTACGACAGTATATAGTAAAGAAAGAGGAACACACAGTAAAAATGCATAGGGCCAGATAAAATCTGCATGATTCTACAGTTTGTGTTCATGTTTTTGAAACATTTTTAAGCAGCCACTATTAGAAGTCTTGTGTACCAGGCATAACTCTTGTGTACTATTTATTATTTTTAGGGTGAAATTTGTCATTCTTACTGCCCCTCAGTGCAAAATTGTGTTTTTCAGTCTAGAAATACAAAATTCTGAGGATCAACTTTAGTGAGCTAAAAAATACCTTTTCAAACTGTGGGTATGGCCTGGCCTTTAAAAGATACTTTCAAGCATATACTGTGTTAAAGCGATGTCAGAAGATGGACACACAATCACTTTATGCAGAAAGCTTCCAGTCAGATCTCACAGACACCGGCAGTTTAGAAAATTGGCAGAGTTGCATGTACTCTTCAAAATATGTGTGGGTGCTCAGTCTAAACACAACACAGCAATGACGCTCACACATGTACTGTAGCTGCCTTTTTTCCCAAAAAATAGCTGAAAGCAAAATGTTTGCTACTGCTACCACAATTTCCCCCAATTACAGTGAAACAGCATGTTGTGATTCAGTTCTAAACCTAAAAAGTACTACGGTGAGCTCATACCTGATTGGGTCTGACAGAAAGCAAAGACCCCATGCCAGACGGGCCTTCTGCCACAGACTGAGAGCAGCAATGGCTCTCTTGAACGTCACAGGAATCGGCCTGTCCCCAAGGTGAAATTTACAGAACGGCACCCGTCCAGCCTGTGTGAAGAGAAAAAGATTAAAAAAAAGAGAATCAAATAAAACACACAAAAATGAACCTATAGTCCACCTTTTTTTCCCCTTTTCTGTGTTCTTCTATGTTTTACCTCTTTGAATGCCTCCCTAAACTCTCCTCCAGGAGCCATGCCCAGTTGCTCCGTGATGTGAGCTGAAACTTTGAGCAGGAGAATCTGCATCAGGCCAGACATCAGCCCATTCTGACAAACACAGATGGCAGAAATAAGCATTCGCAAAAGCACAGATATGCCTTAAGTGGTTACTCTTCAAATTTGAGTTTTTAAATGTACGGACAGTACAACACATTCTTTAGTTCTATGCACTTACAATAACACAGAACCAAGAAGACTAACACACAAGTGCAGAACAGACAGAAAGCTCTTTAGCGACAAATAATCCTGCTTGTGCATCATATGTCAGTGATATTAATTTCGATCCCCTTCGCTGTTTCTCCCCTCATAGGATAAGAGGTGTTTCAAATTCCAAAACACCGTTAATGATTTATTGATAACACACCTCACTGTCATTGTGTCACTGTTACCCTTTCTACCTCTCTTCATTTTATCTGCTCTTGCTATTTTTCACACTGCGACCATTGTTAATTCCCATCATTCTGAAAGCCAGACCTGTTTGATGGCCTGCTGAACCTTTTCCAGGTTGATGTCTTTGGCTTCCCGCAGCAGTGTATTTTCGTCCATCTTCAACATAGACACTCTGTACTGGCACAGCTCCACCACCACCACGTCTGGCTGCACAGCGCGGATGGTCTGGGTGACGAAGAGACAGCAGTGGTTTTGGAAGATAAGAGAGCATAAGAGGGTCAGAGAGAGACAAGAGGCCAGCATGGGAGAAAAAAAAAAAAAAAAGCAATGTGCAAACAGACGAAGACAAGATTATGCTTTGCAAAAGATGCCGACCCTAATTACAGTATAAACAGGTGCTACTCTACAGCACTTCTCCACATTCACAGAAGTACTCCATTATTTCACTGGCAATTCACAGCATATCCCATTTGAAAAGGGTGCAAGTGGGATATCCTACATATCCCGTTGTAAATTCTCATTGTCTCACCGTGGCCACATCCTTTTTGCTGCTGTCACTGAAGTGGGCAGTGCCCACCAGGTACAGGAGGCTGCCATCAGGGGCAGTGAGACGGGTCACTGTGTCTGGCAGCTCAGGGGACGACTGGCGGCGCTGGGCTCGCAACTGCCAAAGCAGCTCCATTGCTTCACCATCCGCTGTACAGAAACAACAGAGACAGATATTAAAGGGACAGAAGTAAACTATAGTGTTTGGTGTCTTAGTATAACTATGATACGTTACAGGAAGGACAGTTTTTCAAGTTTCCAGAAAAATTGTCTAGTTATATTTTTCTTCAACACATTAGCTAATTTTCATCCCATTACTTTGCATAAGCAGCTTCAAACAAGCAGCATCTCTATTAATGATGAGTTAAGTTACTGCCGTTATATAAACTACAGACAAGTCTAGGAACAGAAGAATAGAAAAGTATACACAAAAATTTCATACTCGTGAAAATAGCAACAAAGTCTGTGGCTATTGTGGACAGTAAGGTGACACATGCATTTGCATCTGGAAAAGCTTATTAAGGTATGATGTGGTATTACGTGGAGGTAATGCTCCAGGCAGTAGCACTACATAATGAATCCCTTTTTTGTACAATGCATGGAATTTGTAAGACTTTCATTATTGTACCATGCTAATTTACTATTTGAATTAACCCTGACAGCGAAAAGGCTGCTGCAATGAACGGTCAGTATCCAGTCAAGCAAAATGTAAAAAAATAAAAAAAGTATTTAATTTAAATTACATAAAATTTTAGTGCAACAGAAACAATGACATGGCAAACGGTCACATTTTTAAAAAGAGATATTACACCATCTGTCTCATGAAATACAGCATACAAATGTACCGGTATGTAGAAAAAAAAACTGCTTACAGAGCCCTGGAGGTAGACAAGGCAGTTCCTCTTCTGAGGGATCCTCTGATGGGCCGACTGACTCATCCTGCCAGACATGAAGACAGCAAACAATATCTTAGACAGGAGGCACGATTAAGAGATTATTCATGTCAAAAGCCTAGCCAGGTTGAGAAAGACTGACTGACTGAACATAATTAGGTCACTGTTCAGTGCAAATTAAAATTGCAATGGTTGAAAAACAACTTTAACAAGTTTTTAACAGAATAACGTGTGTTTAAACTGAGACTACATCTAAAGTACTCAAGCTTCCCAGTGTGGCCGCTTACCCGAGCGTGAGCGGGACATCTGGAAAAACATCAGTCAAAAACACCTCGCTCACACAAACGTGTATGTAACTGTTACAAACCTCTGAGTTGTTGTCCTGGTCCATGTTTGAAGCACTGGAAGCTGCGTGTGACAGAGAGCAGGATGAAGCCATGCGTTATTTACGACTGAACAGTGAGACGTTCACTGACAGCTGGAGACAGTAAGTTGCTGACTGCTGACGTAGCTTAAAGTGTAACGAGCAATGGTTTCTGTCTGAATCGCAGCTAACGCGGTGATGTTGATGGGAAACGTGTTCACGGTAACTGATTTATGAATACAAATCAAATCGTCTTAAACGACGCTGTCATTAAGTTAACGTTACGACTCAATGTTACCTAAACAAGAGGCTTGCACACCAAAGGAAGAAGTGACATGCCGGGGGCAGGTTTACAAACTAGCTAACGTTACTTCCAGGTACGGGACTGCAAACCATTGAGCATTGGGTTGGCTAGCTAACTTACCGGATGATGATAACAGCTAACGTTAACTCAAGCTAATGTAGGCTAGCAAGTCCGGTAAGAATTTCTTTAACTCATACACGTTAAAAACGGAATAATCTCACAACAAATGCTGCCACTATGAAGTACACTATATTCGGTAATATACGCCACGGTTGTCTAAAACAAATATCAACAACTTACCAAGAAAGCCAGCCCGTTTGTCAGCTTACTCCTCGCCAGTTACAGCACCTATACAATGCTCGGCTGCTGAAACTGACAGCTGCAGTGCATTCTGGTACATGTAGTCATTGATTGTTAGAATGCGCACATGGTTTTTTTATATAATGAAAATGTTTTTAATTTGTTGTCATTATAACATCTCACACAGTATCAATCAAAGTATGGACTCTTTTTTTCTCTCCACGTTTTCACTATCATCAAGACTGTCAGAGCTTTACCTCCGCACTGTCCCAATGTGAAAATCTCCACAGAGCTGTGATACAACGTATAACGTGCTCTCACGGACACTAGTGCTACAAGTCTTAAAGTGCTTTTGGATGCATTTAGTGTGCTTTAGTAGTCTAAAATGGTAACTACGAGCCAACCTGTGTCATGACAATGAGATGGAAAGTCTTGAAGTGTGTGCTTACTGAATGTACAGAAGAAAAGATGAGTATAGTAGGCTATGCTTAGGTCTACCTATACTGTAAGCAGGACCCTGGGTAGGTGTCACACTGGTGTGTAAGTCAGTGCAGACAATTAATGACATTCCTGTAATCATGTATGCAGCTGCAAGAAATGTGTGTTGAAAGGTTGTGGTAGGCACCCATCCCCTTGTCCACTCACTCGTTCCCAGTGAAGAGTGCTAACATAAATTATAGTCGTGGTCTTACTACAAATAACAGACCAACTAGTCTAAATGTTCATTCTTTCATGTGAGACAGGGCAGAACTACTGAAATAACTACTGTGTCAGAGACAGCGGATGACAATCCAAACCTTAGTCATCATATAATAATCCTTCCAGTGAGGTTAACATCTACTCATCACTTCATTCACATCACATCACAGCACTCCTACAAGAAGCCAGCAGAACACAAAAGTCACATACAGTGCCAGTGAGTCCAGCTCCATTCAAAGTATTGGAGCTGCTATTAAAGTCTTCAAGAAGAGAACACCCACATCGCTCCCTTTTTACTACATGTCTCGCAGTATCAGTAACAGTTTATCCGAGCAATATTGCATGTCACCTCACAGTGCCACACTTTGATTGTGGAGTCTGTTCTTTTGCTCTTTCTTCATATAATATGCCAATTTACCTATTATTAATGACGTGCAAATAGAGTCGAGTCAAGATCTGAGGCACATCCCTAATCTACGGTGAAATGGCAATGATAAAGCCATGAAATGTGTGTTATATTTTAAACACCCCACAACACTGAGTCATATACAGTGTCTATAAATATAGCGTTCTGTGAGATTTGATGCTGTAAGCGCATACATTATTGCCACAAATATATTGTGATCTTTTGCATATTAATTGTGCTGATCTCAACAACTGTATTGCGTGAGCTACCTTTCTACTTGGCTATTTATTATATAAAGGGACTAAGCGTTATTATAATGTGTTTAAAATACATTTTGTTTGAAGCCATAATGCGGTCTTCTTTACAGATATTCATCTCTAAGTAGTGTGCCCCTCCCCTTTTTTTTTTTAGAAAGCTTGCTCATCTCTCATCGCCACTCATCCCTTCATTAGACCTTTTCAGTATAGCTGTTATATAGCACCCTGTTGAATTATATCACTGCTGGTTTCATTGGAGGGTGTTTAGCTGTGCACAGTCATCCTGAGACATGAGTGACATCATTTCCTATAGTAATACTCTGGTCAACACGATCAAACACACAAGCATTTGCCATATCCTCTCTGAATCAATTTTCCCATCTAAAAGTCATTTTGCTTTTATGACTACTAGTTCCTTGTCATTTTCTCACTTTCCACTTTCTGCTCATGAGTCAGCCCAATCCAGCCATCACAGAAGTGTGTGAGTTAATTTAAAGAGTAGAGGTGGCTGTTGATAGGAGATGATTGACATGGTGGTCATGTGCGCAGAGTGTAGTGTTGGGGAAAGGAATCTCAGCGTTCCTCTCTTTCTCCTTCTTCAACATTCCCCAGCAGCGATGAGCTCCCCAGGTCTCTCTGCCAGTCTGTCTCTACGGTTTTCTTCATCCTCTTCTTCCTCGAAGAGAGTGCGATGTATAGTCAGCAGCTGGTGTGTAGGGGCAATGGTTAGCGCTGGTGGCTGAGACTCAGGGTTTTCTGTCTCGGTGAGAGGCTCCCTTGGAGGAGGAGAGGACTTGGGACTGAGGGTGTCCTCGCTGGAGGGAGGGTTTGGGCTCACGCCGTTTACGTACGTGTTGGTGGGCAGGGTCACTGTAGAAAAGGCAGTGTTGGTCGATTCAGGAGAGAGAACCTTAGTTTCTGAAAATACAAGAAGAAATATTGGACAGGGTAGAGGAAGAGAGGAGAAAATCAAAGTCTCTAATGACAACAGTGTAGGCAATGTGTCCCTTTCAAAAAAAAAAAAAATACAAAGGTCGACACAGAGATACTCTGAGGATATAGGGGTGCAAACTTGATACCTTTCAATTAAAGGTCATTTAAGGTGATCCAGAATTGTTAATTTGTGTGATTGGTGATTGTATTCTTGGCACATGCAACGTATATGAGAAAGTAAACACTGAAGAGGGCTGTCTCTGGAAGTCAATTTGCATGCCTTAAAACTAGCATAGGCAATTTATTTTAATATTTGTTAAAATTCTCTTTACATCCTGACAGGGATCAATAAATCAAATGTTCATAAGAAGAAAAACTTCCAGTATCTCTGGCTGTCGCTGGACTGTAATAAATTACGACTAGTCATTTCATTGGGACTGAATAAAATGATTGGCTGGCCTACCTACCTGTTTACCTGCATTTGCACCCATTGTGCTTGAAAATGTGTTTTGGGGGAGTGGCTTTGGAGGGAGGCTTGAAGTGAGGCGGTGGTTATGATACTTTCATAATCTAGCTGTCTCTTGCTAGTTTCTCCAATGTTGCCTACCCTAGCTTTACGAATAGCAAGAGTACGTTAGCTTTATCATATCCATTTTCTTTACGCTAATATAATATTAGCAAGGCTAATACTGCCATACCGTATTAAACAAGTTGCTTTAGGATTTGTTTTGGAACATGAAACTAATTCATGAGACAACGGTGTAGACATTTAGATAAAATGTTAATTATGATGTAGTTAAATGCTTTACAGTAGTTACAGTAGCCTAATTATGTCGCTTGAGTAGGGGGCAAATGCCATGATCACTGAAAATGACAGAAGCTGAATGTAAATTACCTTATGACATTTTATCTCTTAGTTGTAGTGGCTTTTAAATCAATTTATAAACGTCATATATACGCCCTTTACACACACAAGACATTTTGTTAATATGGCAAAGACACACTTAAAGGTGGGGTAAGGCACAACAGCTCCAAACAGCTATACTCACAACTCTCCTGCTATTATAGCTAACATCACAACAACAGCATGTCTTAGCAAACTAGAAAGTAAGCTGAATGTCTGTGGACAAGATATTTAACATTTCCTGACACAAATCGTGGCTTGAACGGCTGGTATATTGTTGTGTGGCCTGGTATGGGCCACTTTATTTGTTTCCCATTTACAGTGCCAGGACTGTGTACAAACACCAGATTATTTAAAAGATGATATATATTTAAAAGAACGTCTTACGATGAATGTCTTCACAATCCCAGTGCTCACAATCAGCAGTAACTAGCTAACGCTTTGTTTTTTTGTGTTTCATTTCCAAAACAGGTATAATTATTGGTTTCAACTGGAATGCTAAGACTGACTGACCAGGTATAACATGTCATGAATAATCATACCCACTGGACCAAGCTGTCATTGCAGGCAATGTGCAAGGTACAGTTAGATGAGGTGGGATGCTAGATGTCTGTTAGCTAACACAGGAAAATATTCAATATTTGAACCAAATGGCTCAAGGGAAATGTCATTAATTCTGCCCTGAACCAGAAAGCACAAGAGTGAAGGAAAGATCAGTACCTGTAAGTGCACCAGACACATGGACAATAGTGTGTGTGCCTTCAATGTAAACCGTATCCAAATTGTGCTCAGACGGTAGAGGTTCTATGGTTGTGGCTTCCACCTTGGGTTTACGAATGGTCAGCATGTATGGATGAACATCCAGAGAGAAGTTGCGAGTGTGCTTTTTCTCCATCCCACTTAGATCTACAATTGAAAATGAAAAGTCTGACTTAAAGGAGGTAGAACTTTACAGCAAAAAGACAGGTCATTCATCCAGAGTATATTTAAACCTCTTTAACTGATTGCCTGGCCTCTTCAAACAAGCCGTAAACAGCATATTTATAGTATCACTGTACAAAGTTGATATGGCGAACATGTTAGCAAACAGTTGCTTAGCAGATAAACAGCAACATTAGCATGCATTTGGAGTCATGTTTCTGTTTTAGCTCTGGTTTGGTTTCTCCACCAACTCCTGAGAAGAACATCTGGCTCTTAGCAGCTAAATGCTCCACTATGTTCACTTTCTAGTCACTAACTTGCCTGCTATTTTCCCTGAAAACAGCTGCCTGCTGCGTCTGGATACAACGTTGACGAAATCTGTGAGAGTGAACCAAAACAGTTGCGGGCTGTAAAACCAAGACAGTTAGCTGAAAGATGCTAAAAAGTTCCGTAAAGTTAAGGGGAACTGCAGCATCTGGTGATAATTATCTGTAGATTTGTCACTAGGAGCAATCCCTTTCACATAACACATAGTCATATGATCCATTGTTAATATAAGAACATTGATTAGTGTAGCTTTAAATTGAAAATCTTTCTGTCACAGACCTAGAGCTTGTGTCCGTATAGCATTTTTTTCTGGCAGATAAACACCGGCACTGGCAGGGATGAAGCACTTGTGTGGTGAGAGAAAAAAAATGCAATTTTGGCAAAAGGTTGACTACACAGCGAACAACAAGTTTACAACCTATAGGGTGTTGAAAGCATGAGTGTCTGGCTGATCTGCTCCCACAAATGGGCATTTTTGTCTCTGTTATGAGTGTCATATCATTAAGCTCAGAATAGACAGACATGGCCAGAACAAGCTTGTCCTCAATTTTCTTGGTTACAAGGTTGACAAGTTCCACCCCTTCTAATATATGATAGTTGCCTGAAAAGGAGCAAAGGTGACGACACAAGTGCTTTTCTGAAAGGTTCAACCAAAAGCGCTCAAAGAAGCTGCACAAAAAAGTTGGAGCGCTCTGAAAAAAAGATGCTGGGTGCAGTGCTTTTTCTGTAGGCTGCCGCGTAGGCTTATTGGGATCAATCAAAAACAACTGCTATATGGACACAAGCCCTTACTGTTCATAGTATTCTTTCTGCATAGGCTACCCAGAGCTGCCAACTCTCACCCATTTAGCGTGGGACCCACGCAATTGACACTTTTCACACGCTCTCATGCCACATATCAATTTTCTCACAATGCTGATGTGACACCAGCGTATGCTGTTAAAGTAATCAAGTGGACCCAATCTTGCACTGTGAATTGCAGAAAGATTGTGATGAGTGGTAACGTTGCTTGATGTTTTGCCATCTGAACAGTTAAATATGGATACATAAAGGTAAGGAGGATCATGTTCCTATATAGGCCATACGCCATTACATTTAAGACAATGAGATGGTGGCTATACAATGTTTGTTTTATTTATTGTTTATATTTTTTAAAAAGTGAGTAAAAAGGCATGCATTATGAGTCACATGAGACGCGCCCCATATACAAGGCTATGTCCTTCCAGCAGCAGCCCGTGTTCGAGTCCAGCCTGCAGCCCTCTGCTACAAGTCGTGCCCTATCTCTCTCCCTTATTTCCTGGCTCTATCCCCTTTCCTGTGTCTCAAATAAAGGAAAAAAAAGAGATAGTGTAGCTGAAGGGATTGAAATTGAAACTTGCTCTGTTTGGGACTGTCTCACTGCTTCTCATTTAAGTGGCTGTGAGCTGCACTTCATCAGATGTGCCAAAGTTAACATTTGTGTGGATTTGGGGTGGGATTTATGCTTGATCAAAAGTGCTTTAAGTAGGTTTCGTTTTCCACTTCCTTGTCTCCGCCAGTACAATCAAAACCAAAAGTTTCCTTGTCTGTCAGACAGGATGAAGGGGATACTACCTTATCAGCAGATAAGCTAATGCACAGCAGAGTCGAGTGCAGGTAGAAAATATTATGAATTGTCATTATATGATGACGTTATTCTCGTAATATGATGACTTTTTTCTCGACATGTCAGAGAACAGATATGTGGGATTCTGAATGTGCAGAAAGTTTTGAACATAAGCAAAACACTTGCTGAAATACAGGAGCTTTCAAAGTACAGGGGTTTATAAATGCATTTATCATTGATGTGAAAAGGTGCCACATGCACATTTAAAAAGGTTACATCCCCAAACAATATACAATATACAAATACACAAAAGAGGAGGGAAGACTAAATCATGCCTACGTGTCCATACATTCACTAGAATGCAAGAAAACACTCTCCAAAATTACACACATTTTCTGGGGGGAAGATCCCCAGATACTTAATTAGGTTTGTCTCCTGATGTAGGCTATGACGTTAGGAGGTTGGCAAAAATGCTGATCAGTCATACTTATTCATCACTGACCATGATTATTGACATGGAGTCAAGAGTGATGACCCCGAACCCTGTGGTGGGTAATGTCACAGAAGGCATACACCGCCCTAACCTATACCAAATCTCACTCCAAACTCATCTGAAAAGTTGGCAGCCCTGTGCATACCTTTTGTTGCAGGATATTGTGTGCTCTTGCTATCCAGAAGTGGTGCAATGAAGTTGTCTGCCACTGTCTTTCGTCTGACTGGTTTGGGTTTTTCAGGCTTGGTGTTATTTTCCAGACGTGTCATGGTTAGGGGTTCCTTTACAAAGGACAGAAAACACAAGAATAGGTTAAACTGCAGTTCAGGCAGCCAAAGGCAACCAGCATAGACGTGTTCTACATATTTTGGATAAATGAGGACCAGAGAAAGAGGATCAAGAGCTGATATGGCTCAGGTGGAAGCATTTTGAACAGAAATACTGTCCATGTTGACATGAACTGCTGTGCTTCAGTGAACTACTAGTTACTAGAGGATAACACATTCATTTTTTCATAACTGCTGTCACTGATGCTGAATAAACTGGAGACATGGAAAGTGTTCTCAGGTAGCTGCCTTACCTTGAATGGCTGGGGAAGAGGATTTGAACTTGGGATCCATTTAATTTTCTTACGGGGCCGTTTGATGACCAGCGGCTCCCCACCCATCTCTCCCACTCCCAGGTCCATATTTGGATCTAGTGTTTGTATTCCAGAGTCCCTCACAGTGGGCGTTGCATCATGGTTGGACTGTGCAAGCGCAGCCAACAACTGCCTCACCACATTGTCATACATGAGGTCACTCTCATTGGTGATGAAGTCCAGTCGGTTGAGCGACTTGATGTGGTCCCTGTTCTCGTTGCAGAACATGGCCAGGATGTTGATATCACAGAACTGAGACTTCTGCCAGCGTCGCCGTGTTTTAATACCAACTTTATGCAGTTTGTCAAATACAAAGTTGGACTTGCGCACCACAAACAAATGCAGCAAATTAAGCAGGATGATCAGGTTCATGGTGCAGAGCAAAGCAATGTCAACTGCTGCCATGATGCGCTGAAGCTGCACAGCAGGCAGCTTACAGTTGACCCTGAGCTTCAGCTCTGAGTAGCTGCTAATATCTGGGGGCTCACCCAGTGCACAGGTAAACTCATTCTGCCTTTGGCGGGCATAGTAAGCGCTCAGATAGGAAATGGGGATAGAACTGAGGCAGATAATTGCCAGATGGCGTGCCAGGTAAAGCTTAGCCAGAAAGTTACTTTGGCCTCGTCTCTCCAAATATTTCTCAAACAGGTTCTGCTCTGGACTTTTCTCCTTCTCTGCGTTCTCTATGATCTCCCTCCTCTCTCGCTCAGTTATGCCAGGTCCTTTGGATTGGATCTGCTTCTCAATCTTTGGGGCTCGGCCTTCAGCAGCTCGATGATAGCAGTTATCAATCTCTTGAAGCAGGAAATTGAGCTCTGAAGTGAGCCGTGTAGAGGCAAGGAACTCCCAGCCCAAAGCAGGAATGTACATGATTCCAGCAAAGGCCAGCAGGGCATAGGGGAGGAACTTGTGCTCAAATAGTGAAGGCCAAAGGTGAGACTCCACACCAGGAATGGCATCCCGCAGCTCTGTCCAGCAGTAGCCTCTTGCATACAGTGCCTGGTCTCTGGTGAAGTTGTGTGGTGTGTAACAGTATATGGACTCCTCTGAAGAAAGTACAGATAGAAAGAAGCAGCCCAAACATTACTTTAACAAGTTGGATGATTATAATATAAATTAAGCTGGCAGAAGAATGCTACAGCTACATCCTGGGTCTTACTGTCATTTTTCACTGATCACTCCTATCAGCTCTTGAATTTTATTGGCAACATGAAAACTCTGCAAGACACAATTTAACAACATGTGAGGGGCCAGACAGAGAGATACACTTTAACAGTGTTATCCAAGCCACCTATTTGAAAGGGAAAAGGCAAACATTCCTGAAATAGCTTTTGTAATAATCCATTGTAGTGTAAAACACACAACTACATTGAGTACTGTGAGTCAAAAGTTAACTAATATGTGTCTCAGAAATAGTGGAACAGATGTTTCGAACAGACAGTCTAGGAAATAACTTTAATTAGAATCATTCACCTGTCCTGCTGTGTGTCTCTGACAATACTCACGCTGCTATTTGAAATGATAGAAGTGTCTGCCTGGCTCATAGAGGAAGTGAGAGGTTGTTCTCTCTCTGTTAAGTCCGTTAAGTACAAAGTGGTTCAGGGCTGCAGCAAGTCCACTTTCAATCTTTGGATCTAAGTGCAGTGACATTTGATAATACAAATGGTTGCGTTGCATTGCATAAATGTTTTAAAATGACTATTAGAAGATTTTTTTAAAGTCAGCATGCGTTCTTTTATGTTACTGGTAATAAGGACAATATGTGCTGTGACATTACAGCCACATAAGGCAGGATACTGTCCTTGTGCTGAGTCATCTAAAAGTTGTTTGGCAATGCCCTACATGTCATTGTAAAACCCACCAGTGAGGGAATACTGAAGAACTTGTCTGAACGCCCACATCTTTCTGCTGCTGAAGTTATACGGTCAGTCCCAGATGGCTTCATGCAGAGAGTCTGACTCAGCAATGAACTTACATCTCTCCCATCCATCGCTTCCACTCTGCCTCTTAACCAAACACCCTCCTCTTCCCCCTCCTAGCTCTATCTCCAGAATCTCTCTAGCCCTTTCCAGACATTTCTAGCTCTCTCTGTCTGCTACTCTAATGCACTTTCCCTGCCTTGCCTAATCTCCTATGTACAGCACACTTCTTCTTATCACTGTACGTCCCAGAAGACGCAAAAGCACTGCATGGCAAACAGAAAATATGGGTGTGATTCAACTTCCTTAACCTTTATCACATTCTTGTGGAGAGACTTTGCAGACTTGTGCTGTATATGTGACAAAGTCCACTGTATGTGTACATTCCAGACCCTTTGCAGACCTGGTCAAAAATATTATGAGGGGTAACAGCTGCTGTCGTAACTTAGACATCCCTAGCTGTGGTAGGTTACTGTAGCAATGAACCCCCTCTAATGGCAGATGTCTCACCTGCAAAGTTCCTTGTGAAGACGAGGGTGACCAGCAGGATGGGGATGATCACCGTCCCTATAGTAACAACACGATCAAAGGGCAGCTCCAGTTTGAGCTGCACCATGAGGCTGGCCAGTGCCAGGCCCTTGTCATCCTGAGAGGAGCCTGGCAAGATGAGCTCCTTCAGCTTCTCGCCGGCGAGTAGAGCTGTGGCCATGTCTAAGTTCTGATCGAGGATGTTCTGCATCCGGAACACAAAGGGCGCAGACCACAACTGCCCTCAGGGCTGGAGGGGAGACCAGACACTCCCCGCTGTAGTTAAATGCTCCTCAACACAGTGTGATACACTTGCACACAGGCTTTCCCACAGCTGTTCTCTTCTAGAAGAACAGACATCACGTTCAGAAGCGCACTCCTCGCTCGGCCTCTTCTGGGTGCGTGCCTGTGTTTGGCCCCATCTCTACAGCGCCTGGCCTCAGTCCACACACTCTGTGTGGCAGGTTGAGGAATGAGTTTAGGAAGGGCGCTTGCGATCCCCAGGGAAGGTGACTGCTGGCTGAAGAGCTGTTACGTGAGCTTCGGTAAGGAGAAGCTCTGAACAATCCTTTCCTGAAAGACAAATGACCAGTTAGGTCAGTTAGTATGTGCATTTTTTTATTATTAAAGTACAGTGAGGTACAAGATGTCATTACTGGGAACATGTGTACAATAGATAATTAGTGCAACCAGGTTTCAAACCAACCGTAGTGTGAATTTGTATTGTCTCACACTTTCCTCCAGAACATTCTCTCTTCCCTTCCTTGTCCTCTATAATGCAGTCATGTGACTGAGGACGACTAACCCTCAGTCTGTGACCAGTGGAGTGTGTCAATGTGGTTACATCTAAGGGGGGTGTGTGCCTTTGAGCGAGCAAGGACACTAAAGGGCAGGTTTGTTCTCTGGGGAGTATGCTAACCTGAAATTGATTAAAAACAGAATTTATTCAATGATTTTGACAAATGTTTTGTCTTGAAATTAACAACCTTGTCTTAATGGACACTGATTCTGTGCCCCCTGCCCCTCTCTGGACTCTTGGTGGTCGTCATCTCTGTGGAACAGCATGTTCACACTGGGGTGTCGGGTGCACCCAGACACTTGTCAGTGGGATGTCTTGCCATGTGTGTCAGAGTGTGTGTACACGTGTGAGTGTTTGAGTGAACTTGAACAGTAATTGTGCAGGGTGGAATTGGTGCCTGCTGCACACTCATTTCTCTTGAAGGTTATGTTAATGTCCTTCAAGAGGAGCAGGAATACATCACCCTTTCTCTTGTGCAATCTCCATCTCTCCCTCCTCTACCTTTCCTCTCATTATACACAAACACAGCTCATCTTGGAAATCCTTAAAAGCAGAGCCCTCTGGTCAGGGGCTGGAAAGTACACTTAATATCTCAGGAAGTGGAACCTTGAGACTGTGGTCGTACAAGTACAGGGGACAATTAGCGTTCTCTTGTCAGCTTTGTAGCACTCTCACCCACAAGAAGAGAAACATCGTAAGGAGAGGATTTCTTTGAAACATTATCAGAGAACATAATTCAAGGCTGCATATGTTAATTCTGACATCATGCAGTAACTGGTGTTATATCTGGGATAGCATGACGTTACATAGTACAGATTTGACTCTGTCCTGTCCACATACTGCCTGGTGACAGTCAAGACAACTTTATACATATCCTCAAATACTGTCTCAAGGAAAAGAGGAAATAAACTTTGCATAATTTAAATTTAAAGGGGCAGCATCACATTTTTGGCGCTCAGTTAGAGGCTGCACTGCTGTCTGTGAGCCCTTGGCACTGTTCCAGTCTGACAGATATTACCCTTCAGTTGGGTAACGCTACCAGTGTTTAGAGAGGGAATTCCACATTTTTTGGCTACTACAGCTTCCCGCTTGGCTGTGACCAGTACAGCCGGAGTACAAAGAGATGGAGCTAAGCTCCGGGACAACAGCTGAACAAGAGGAGCCTCATTCATTCATTATGAATTAGATGATGGCCAAAGAGGGAAGAACTTTCAGTCCCCATCTGACACTTCAGATAACAAATCTGAACAGATAATATAGCAGACCAATGATGCATTTTAGAAAGATGAACAATTTTATACTAACACTGAGATACTAACAGTGAAAAGAACACCATAAACCTCACTGTTTTCTTACTTTTGACTATCAGCAAGTCCCTATAGGAACACTGCAGGAACATTTCATCAGGGTGAGAGAAGATCATTATGTCCTAATTAGCTCGTTTTGAGCTATGACTGCTGTCTCCTGACGGGTCTGTGAGTCCAGGACAGAATCGCAACCAGGAGGACCGCACTTCCAGAGACATTGCGTTGCAATGAACTGCAGCTGCCTGCAGATGACGAGCCGTTTCAGGACCTGAGCAGCGGATAGCTCCCGGATAGCCAGCCGGAGACGAGCTGCTGCTGATGATCCAGTGTAGCGATTGAGTGTGTGTGCTGCTCTGTGTCTGTGTGTGTGTAAGAGAGAGAGAGAGAGAAGAGAAGATCCTACTGTCGGAGTCTCTAAGATGCTCCATACCTGCATCAGCTGTCTACATGTCCGCACTGGAAAGCGGAGAGGAAAGCCACACTCTCGAGCCAATGTGCATGCAGCGGGAAAATAACAGAAAGCCACTCACCATGACTCGCTGCATCTCCCAGCGCGGTAAGAGTTAATCTGCAGTGCGGGCGAGCAGCTACAGCATCCGAGCACACCGGTTTGTTCCGCCTTTCCCCCGCCAGCTCCCCTCCCCGCCCTTCCTCATCCTCAGAAACAAGGGATGAGATACCACATTAAGATTCTGTAGTTCATCACATCACCTCGCTTTCATCTCCGCGGTTAACCGAATTAACGCAGAACTGTGACCGAAGGGCAGGCGGTGTGTGTGGCAGAGATGCTGAAAGATGAATTCAGTGATGTTGCAGAAATCGACATCCTACTAATTCTATAATAATTTTTAAAATATGTTTATCATAATAATTTTAGGAATCTAGATTCTTATGTGAGGGTTAGTGAAATGTTGCAGTGATATCATCGACGATAAAACACAATCAATAATAGTATCTAATAAGGGATTATCTATTTAGGACTAAGACTGGACTACATAGTCCAGATGAATGACTACAGACTGGCTACCACTTCCCATCCTCTGTTCGTTCAGTCTACAACCTAACTAGGACCTGCAAGGCTGTGACAGGCTTATTGATAGGTTTATCCAGCCCGCCCATCAACTCTGAGTGTGGGACTTGACATAGACACGTGCAAACAACGAATGGGAAAGATGTTTGTCATTCAAATTCAGTGGGTGTGGCGAGGACTTTTCAAGGGGTGCATTCAAGACAGCAGTCAGTTAGGGGACCATGCAGTGGAGGATGACCCGACTCAACTCAAGTGTGAAACGTACAGCCTTCTGCAGTTGATAATGGAGGTGCCCCTAATTGCATGGGCTACTTGTAGTGGTAACCTATGTGGAGAGAGTTACCAGATTCTAGAACAGCAATAAATAAATGGCTATTTTAATATGTGTATTTGTTAGTATTGCTCTTGCCAACTGACACAGGTTTGCCTTTTAATTTACTGCTGCATCACTGCTGAACAGGGAGAGTGGTACGTTTGTTTGTAGCTCCTGCTGCCATTGCTCACTGTAGGGAGTCTTGTGCTGCAGCATTTATCAGCTGGACTGAGCCACAAGTCAGAGTACTTCAAGCCGGTTTCCTCTGGTTAGTAAAGCCCACCTCACTAAGTCTGCTTCAAAATACAGCCCCCCCAGCATTGTTGCAAAGATCTTGGTGATGTTCATGTTTACGATGTGACAAAGCTTACTGCTTCTAGTCATGGTGGTGTGAAGAATGCAAAAGAATGCAGCCTATGGGAAAGAAAATAGTTAAAGGAGACATTATATCCAGAGGTGTCCTCTCCATTTACATACAAGGGGGGGAGGGGGGCTTAAATCTGTATCACATCAATGCCAAAAGCTGAATTAACACCTCTATGGCAGTGTTAACAGAATCTGAACACTATAGGAATCATAAAGGTAGACTTTATAGCAGAACAGATGTATGGCATTTCAGGCGATTGTACACTGAGTGTGTGTTTGAAATTTTGGCAAACCAAAACTGTCTAGAAATATGTTTGTACATGCATTAAAGTCTTGGCCTGTATGCATAACACCTCCAGTAAATGGCATGGTTGTGGTTTCATCTAGGCCTTCTGAGGCATAATCTTATATGTAAGGGAGGGCAATGACTCCCTGTTAATAAGCATAGATCATGTGCAGTGGCTAACACAGAATGGAGCGGAAGGGAGTAAATTATAAGAGGAAGGAAATTAAGTAAATTAGCATATTGTAGTAAATACATTAGTGTGAATATAATGAGAACACCATTCTCACTTTCAAAAAGAAAGCAGGGGTGAGTAGGGTTTCCCCCCAGTAAATATACAAAAATATATCACCTATAGTTTAGTTTAGTACAGCCCGACCTCTAAAAATAGGATAAGAACTCAACAGTATTTCCTGGAGTTATTTTAGGATGCAGGTAGTGCCATGTATATTTGCCGTCTGGTCTGTCATCTTACCATCTATACTGTATCTGCAGATTGATCAAGTGAGCAACATCAAACAATAACCAGAGCAACCACAGAACATTGTACACATGTGTTTACTTACAGTTGATGCCAAACATTTTATTTTCTAAATGTGACACAATTTCAGTTAAAACGCTTCACATCAGTTAATATCTGCAATTCTCTTAATAAACTGTTGCAACCATTACCACACCACTTTGAAGACACAAAGAGGCCTGCTACTGAACAAAATACAACAATCAAGAGAGTGCTGTAAGATAAGTGTTGACTATTTGGAAAGAAAATTTGCAGAGAATAATGTCTGCCACTGATTTTTAAACATGTTTCATTTGCTGTCCGAGGATCTTTTGCATCTGTGGAAAACTCCTATAAATGTGGCTGTTTCAAAACATTACAAGGTCATGACATGTTGATACCTTATAATAAATTGAGCCAGTGCCGGGTAATAGAAAAGCCACCACACGCGGGAGAAAAGCATCAAAAATGCACATTTCTCATTTTAGATCATTCTATTTTTTGGGATATAAAAAATATCAAACATTTTCATTTCATCCTGACATCCTTTCCAACCTCGACAACGATACGGACAAATCGGTACCATCCGTTAAATCCAAAATTAATTCAGTTGTATGTGTTTGCTGCATAGAAGAAATAGAACAAACATCATAATTGCTCTGAACATTTTTATACTCGTTAAAATTGACTCACATGATTGTTCATTGAATGGTTCACTTCCCACTTCAAATGATGCCATTCCTCACTACAGTAAGAGGGCAACATTTATAAAAACCCAGAAAACAGACATCAAAGCAAAGTGCTCATAACATTATCTAGGCAAATATCTTAACCAATAACAAATATAAGAATCATATTTGCTGCTTTGTATTTGTTCAACTTTTTTTCTCTTTCTGATTTCTTTCCATATCTTTCATTCTTTATTTTCCCCACCTTTTCCTCTATCTCTCATTCTGAATACATCTTAACTGTTTTTTTTTCTTTCTTCTAGCATGTTCTGTCCCAGTTTGTACTCTTACAGCTCACAGAGTTTCTTTTATTCCTTGTTCTCCCACTTCTCATCGCACTGCAGGGCTGTTCATTGGGCCATTTGGACCACAACTGCCTTCCAGGTTCTGTCTTTGTCAAATTCCTGCAGCGTTCCATTAGATGCTTGCTGCTGAGGGAGCAAAACAGGAAGATGGAGGAAGAGAGAGAGATTGGAGAGATGAAATGTGGAAGAGATAAATGATGTGTGAAGGATAAAAAGCTTTGTGTGTTTTTGTGTGACTAGCTCACAGATGTTTATGTCATTATCAATTATTGAAATGACATGTACATGAGTTGAGTTGGTCAGAACACCTGGACAGAATTAAACTCTCAAATGTCCTTTGTTGAAAGTGGACAGACAGACAAGGAGAAAAAAAAGAGAGACAGATACTTGCCCACCTGTGTACACAACTCCTGCTTTTACCTGCCGTACCTCGCAGTAGTGGGCTGGGGTGTGCATGTTGTCCTCGCACTCTGGAGCCCCCATGCGGAGCTGACTCTTGTAGGAGGCACAGTGCACCACAGTGGCTGAAGTTAGAATTGCCTGCACCAGCAGCAGCACCATCAGAATCAGCAGCAGGATGTCGTAGGATTGCTGGACCCCCCCCCCCCCCCCCCCCACACACACACACAAGAAAATTAGATGATTGAGTCGATTTCACACTTTATCTAAAATCTGTAAAATAAAGCTGTATTTCTCCTGCAAATGGAGGTCAGGGCTGGTTACTGCTTACGAAGGAACCTGCACATTGCATATTACTGGGGGACATGTTGACTTCATTAAACTCACCTTGGCTGTTGGTACATCATACAGGAAAATTTCAACGAAGCTGATCACACTGCAAGAGAGGAAGCCGGAGGCTGAAAAGAGCAAGGGAGACGTCACACTGCTGATGGCAATCAGCATCTCCACCTGAGAGACACCAGGAAGATGGAAAACAGAAAAACTAAAAAAAGGATCAAAGAAAAAGGAAATAGACCCAGTTTGTATAACTGAGAAATTTTATTTTGAATGATAAAAATGATCCTTCCTCAGCAGACACTCCTTATTAGCTCCCAGAAGATAGGCCTACAATAAGTAACTTTATTTATAGAGCACCTATCAGCAGCCGAACATCAAAAAGTGCTTCACAATAAATATAAGAAAACAGACATAAGAAACACCAAAAAACAGAATTAAATTTAAAAACATGACACAAAGACACATCTAAATAAGTAGATCTTGAACTGAAAAGGTCCATATCTTGAGTCCATTAGGAGAGCCTTCCAAAGTTTAGGAGCCACAACCTCAAAAGCACTGTGTTCAGAGGATGTTAGAGACCTGGTACTATTATAGGGCTAGAGGGGGCTCTCTAATGCAGTTGTCTGACCAGAGCTCTATAAGCGATCACAATAACCTTGAACTGAGTTCTGCATATGCAAGACAAACAGAATAGGACTAAGGACCGAACCTTGGGGCACACAACAAAACAGAGTTTCTGGTAAAGACACATATAGCAATAGCAACTGAGAAACTCCTATCACAGAGGTAGGAGGAGAACCATTCCAGGACTAATCCAGAATTACCCACCCACTGCTGAAGTCTGTCAGTAAGCATACTGTAGTCTTCGGTGTCAAGAGCTACACTGAGATCCAACAGTACCAAAACATTCTCCTGCATCACAGTATATCAATATATCATTTGAGACTCTTAAGAGCTGTTTCCTAGTATGATTTGCACAATCACAAAATTGAAAGTATTTGAAGTCTAATAAAGACAGACAGCGCAAAATGAATTATGTTAATTGTCTTGCACTCACCAGACACTTCTTGGGGTATTCTGACACAACATGGCTGGCAATAGCACTGGGAAAACACTGCAAAGGAGTAAAGACGAGACATAAAGGTATAATGGACTGCATTGTAGTTTTTGTTCTAAACTGCAATCTCTGTCATAAAGAAAAGTAAGTTTAAGTAAGAAAAACTCACAGCCACAAGAATCCAGAAAAATGTGACAGACAGGTACGGACCAGGAAGCAAAGCATCCATGTTGAGGGCAATAATTCCTCCAAACACAGCAGAAATTCCCACGATTACTTCAATCACCTATTAGAGATGTTCTTCAGTGATTGATAAGCATTGGCCAGACAGAAATATCATGTGCAAATAAACTGAAAACTACTCACAGAATACGCTTTAAGGAGTCGAGTGGGGAACACTGCAGGCGTTATAACCACAGGTCTGTCATATGTCACCGGCTAAAAGATTGAAAGGAGTTAGGATGGAAGAGTGAAAGCTCTAGGGAGAGTAAGAGGAAGGAGACATCAGTTGGAGGAATCAAAGCAATCAATCACTCATTCGCACACACTCAAGCACACACCTTCCTGTGGCAGCAGCAGTCTTCTGCAGAGCGGGCTGACAGGATGACAGTACTGGCCATCAACACCTCCAGTACAATCATCAGGATGAGGTTAAAGTTGATCTGAATAGACAGAGTGGGAGGGGGAGCAGAGACACAACAGCAGAAGGACAATTAAAGAAGGGAAACTTGATATGCTTATGTGCAACCAACAAATTGGAAGATATCAGTACATTACTACAAAGGATTTACATTGACAGCTGAAGGGTTCAGGACCAGTTTACATCCGAACCAAACCAGGCAGGTGGTCGTTACAGCAAATGTTGACACATAGACCACCTGGAAATCTGACACCTTGAGAAAAAAACAAGAAAACATGAGACCTTTATTCGTATCAAGCCTCAATTGCCTTGAGGAAATTCAATTAGAAATCCATTAAAACATAATTATCTCTTTTGCCTTTGGTGTGTTCATTGTTTACTCACTGCAACATGTCTGTTCTTGGCAATGGCGAAACTGGCTATTGCTGCAGGGAGGCCCTGTGAAGAACAGACAAAAACTAGAGAAGGCGATTTCTGAGAAACTGTGGTGTAAATTCTGGATGTTGAAAAGCTGACGCTAAACTGCATTGTTGGTTTTAAAAGTGGAATAAAATCATCATTAATGGATGAAGATGTGGAATATTTTAAGGTTTGTTGAAAAGCTGATGTTACTCTGCATTGCCGGCTTAATTTTGTATGAAGAAGCAGCTAAAGTAGGATGAAGAGCTGGAAAAGTGGGAAATGGAACAGGTTTGATTTTCTGCGTTTTTTGCATCCGTCAAAAGCACAATATCATTTCATAACTCAGATACTCTACTTTCGACAGGCCTAATATTCATGTGGATAATTATGATGGTGATGAGAAGGTGGCGTTTAAATTAAAGGGTGAGGACTGCACACAGACAGGGAGGGAGGACAGCTCAGCCCCTTCAGCTAGCCGTGGTGCCGAACGCAAGATGTGGGCAGAGAGAGGTAAACATCTTGGGAAGATCCTCCAGTGGAGAAAAGCAAGGGAGGCAATGAGAAAGAAGGAGCGAGAGACAAAGCAAGAGACAGAGTGACAGCAGCGTCAGGATTTGCAGGAGCTGCAGGCAGATGTGTCCACAAAATCACTACAAGAGAGAGGAGACTCTGAAAGAGCTGCGTGAGATTTGTGTGAATTAGAGCAGGTTAGAAATGTCCCCGTTTCTACCTCCCTCCTGAAAAATCTGGTCTCAGTTAAGATGGAAGTCTATACAGCAGTTGGGGGTGGCACCGCTGTCCCTTTGAAGCTAACTGTGCTAAGTGAGTGTGTGTTTGATTCCATAGTAACATGTCTGCTACCGGCACACATTTTCCTGCGATTTGATGTATAAATGATGGATGTGGAGTGAAAACTGCGGCAGTGAGAGCAAGTTTAAAAGTAGATTTTCAGATGATTTGACACCTCCTCTGCACTGATGTTACCCACTATAGCTTTGAACGTTCTGCCCCGCACATATACTCAAAAATTTCAGAAGGTATAAAATGTCTTTAATTTGAATGAAATGATTTAATGTGAGAAAGCCCAAAAGGTTTAAGTTTGAATGGAGTTTCTAAGTGAATGTATGGATGAGCAGGATGAGGCTGAAGATTTTTCTCATCAACTCACATTATGCTGACACTTCAAAGAATGTTAAATATTTTGAAAAGTTTTAATGGGATTTGAAAAGTTGAATAATGCCTAGAATGTACAGAAGATGTGAAACATTTTGATTTTCAACTGGAGCTTCTAGCTAAAAGTATGAATGAGTTGAAAAAGTGGGTAAATGTGGATATTTTTAACGTAACCTGAAATATTTTGCAAACTATGGTAAAGGTAATAATAATAACGGCTGAATGATAATAAAGAACTTCATGCATAGAAGAACATATTCACATCGATGAGCAGCTGCGTGTGTCTATTTAACAGATGCTGTATTACTGACATTTTGATGTCTTATCTAAACAATGTGTATAAGCACATTAAGGCAGAGCTGAATATGAATGTGACTGTGATTACACTTGCATGATGGTCACTTACTGAGCCTGCAGCACAGCGTAGGTAGTCCATGGCAACAGGAAACACATTTCCCAGGTACAGAGAGAAACCAGATGTGATAAGCAGACTGCCCTGTGGACACGCACACACACAGGCATGCACACAAATACAAATACAGACACTCAGAAATGCGTTCAACAGGTAAGACTGCACAAGAATGCTAACATACTCTCACACATCCACACACATATTTTACAATACAATAAAACATTTAACTGAAATGCCCAGTTAATAAGACATAACACAATACACACAGCCAAACTGCTGACATTTTAAATACGGACAGGGAGCAACCCCATCACATTCCTACTTCAGCCTTTTTTTTTATTGATTAGAGCTTGCACTGTCTGGAGCCATACTGTTGTGATGTGGAAGCACAAAACAAGATGTCGCCATCCCACTCAAAATTTCTAGACTGGGATCCTGTATCATCAGAGTAAAAGATCACCCCAACCTTTAAACTTTGTGTGTAATGGACTAAATAGATACACCCTGTCATGTGCCTCCTTTGTACCCGTCCCTGACCATGCATCTTTCCTCTCACCCCTATAAGGACGCTGTAGAGCCAGGCCCTGTAGCTGAAGCAGGGGTGCTTCAGAGCCTCCGGCTGGGCCAGCTGCAGGTCACTGGCCCTCACGTCCACTGTGTAGCTGTCCCGCTCGGGTTTATACCGCTCTCCCCGTTCCGGCCTTCTCTCTGCTCCTCTGTCGCCCCGTCGCCCCAGCGTCCCACCGCCCCTCTCCAGGGTGGGCATGTGGCTGTAGGTGAACTCCTCTCTGGCTGAGAGCTCGTCGGACTGCATCACTGAAACAGCTGGTGGCTAACTTCAGTGACGGGATGGGAAACACAGAGTGAGGATTAGAGCCTCTGTGAAAGGGAGGGTGACAAAATGCAACTGAGAAAGCTACATGAGTTCAGAGCCTTTGTTTTTTAAATTGTTTCTGCACAGCAGTTCCCATCAATAGAAGGCAATACGTTTATTTTCAAAAGATGAAGATGGAAATCGGAGTAAGGAGAAAAGTGCATCAAACCAAACAATGAGCCATTAGTTTACTAATCATGCAGTAACCCCAAAACAACCCCCTCCTTTTTGTCTGCCTGAATCAAAAGGACGCCACTCATTCCATCTTCCTCCTTTTTTACTACTTCTTTTTTTCCCATTTTGCTCCTGCCACACTCACCTGTTGTTGGGTCACTTGAAGAATCTCACAAATATTGTCCAACAGAGGTATCTTTGAACAACTGAGATCAAATCTCCACATGGAAGACAGCTTGTTTTTGTCTGCAGCTCCTTCTGCTCCCCATCTCTCTCCCTCACACTTACACTCTCTTTCACCCCCACTCTCCTCCTCTTTTTTGTCTCTCTCTCTCTCCCTTTTCTCCTGTTTCTCAGAAACAGTTCTGAAAAGTTTTTTTTGAGCCCCTTCAAAGCGTGGAGCTAAAACACATGGCTCTTGTGCTGCCAACCTACTTTGTGCCAAAGGGAGAGCGCCTGTGCATGACAACAAGGGGAGGATGAAGGGGCTCGCACTGGGGGCAGAGTTAGTAGGGCAAACACCCTTTTTACACTCCCCTTTTGCTCATGCATACACACACACACACACACACACACACAGATACATGCACATCAACCCACTTGCTAAACAGAACAATGGACACTCAGAAATGAGAGCATGGCAACACACAAAGATACGTCTCTAGAAATTCCAGTTCATAGCAAGAAACATGAAGCTGCCACAGAGAAGTTCACATTAACCCCATCATGTACAGTGTCAAGCAGTTGGTTTTTTTCCATAATAGCAGAATGTGTCCCCCTGTGGAGTTCCCTTCACAACTTCGCTTCTTCTCTTGGCGTTACTTAGTGGTCCACTTGCAGTTCACAGCCCAGTGAATTAAGATGCCCAGCAGTGCTTTACAAAACAGGCCACAGAGACATTTCCCCGGCTTAATCACATGTTTTCTTGTCTGCCGCAGCTAATCTGATGACAAATCATTTCTACTTCGAACAACATTCTCCAAACTACTCGTTCAGGAGTGAATCCAGTTGGATGACGACATCTTGTGAGTGTGTGTGAATGTGTTTATTGTGTCCATGTATAAGCATGTACATGTACGTGCACCTCACTCAGTCTTTGACACAGCGGAGCGTTCTTCGCTCAACATTGTTCCTGGGCGCCGGTAACCATGGCGACTCCTTAACAACTGCTGTCCCCCCTGTCCCTCGCCATTCTGTCTCTACACACACACACACACACACAAACACTGCAAATACCATAGGCTACACACTCAAAGGAGAGAGGTATATTGCACCAGTTCTTTGGAGACATTAAAGGGGATCTGAGGAACACTGATTAGATGAGACATAATTCAATAAATGGGAATGTAAAAAATAATTGCAAAGAGGCTGTCTGGACTGGATTGTTTACTCCCAGTAATTTGATTCTGAGAGTTAAGCTTTTCTTAAATATGTTTAAAAAAAACATGGGAGCCAAATAAGTCCTGAGTATCCTGCTACCCCTGACATTTATGTGAAGAAAAAATAATATCAGTGTCATGTTTGGTGTCACTGTAGCAGGATGGCACAAAGACAGTGAGAGATACTTTAGGAATACATTTTGTAAAGGTTGTTAATGTTGTTTGTGTAAAAAAAGTGTTACTGAGACAAATGTTATCAGTGTTCTGGTATACTACGAGTTGATCCTCGTGTGTATGATGTGTTTTGGTTGAATTAGTGTTAGTGTTGAACTGTGTGTGTGAAGAGTTTTAAAAAAGTGAACTCGATACACAATGCATGTCTGCGTGAGGAGTGGGAGAGGAATTCTCTTCAGCACCATCTCATTGACAACAGCAGTACCACACACTCACTGCTTTGCTTTTACCCCTTGAGAGTGAAGCAGAAGAAAACAAGGCCAGGTCTGTTCTCTCTGCAGCTTTGATTTTCTCTTTCTACTTCTCTTTATAGGTGTGTGTCTGATTGATTTTTTCCTCTTATTTGCTTTTCACCTGTGTGTCTGTCTCCCTCACTGACCGTGACACCCCCTCTGCACCTCCACCTCTTTGAACTCCTTGGCACATCTGCAAACTGCTACAAACAATATCTACAGCATATTGGCTCACTTGTATTTCACCATATGAGTATGAAGTCCCAAATATAACAAAATGCACCAATCCGCTTCTAATGTTGGCAGCCCATCCACCCAAGAAAATTTAGCTTATTGTGACCCATATTTATGTTTCTTATTAGGCTGCGACCTCCAGTGGCAGAGGAAGTCAGGTGATGTTGTATAAAGAGAAAAAAAGTTAATGCAAGGAAGGTGGTGGGTTGGATGGATTACTCAAGCAACTCAGGCCTTTGATTCAGAAGCTAAACCTAACCAAGTGGTTTTTGTTGCTTAAACCTAAACACCCACATGTTAACATTATGTGACTGAGGTCACATGATTTATGTAACATACTTCAGTCCTGTATGCTGTTGTTGGACTGGTCCAGAAAACGCCCCTATGTGTTGTTTTGGGGAGCAGTCTTATGTTTTGGGACCCTTGACAATCAATCTATTTTGTCGTTTAGGTATGAGAAGGTTTTGGATATCGGATATTTGCCTGATACTGACTCAAATAGCTTGATTGGGTATCATGACAAGGAGGGCGATCTAATCTATTGGGCAGTTATATTCAGTTCCGTACTTGGTTATGCGATGTGTCAGCAGTGCACCGGTAGACCCAAATATTAGTTAGTATAGTATAGTAGTACTATAGTATAGTATAAAGTTAGGAAGCAAGTCAAGCCTGATGTTGCCTTACACATAAAAGAATGATACCCTGTCTCTTCCTCACAGTGAAGAATACAGCTTATTCACTTAAACTGGAATCGGATCGATACTCAGCATGTGCATCCCTACGAAACCAGAATACATCAATAAATATCAAATAAACCTAAATAGTTAAATAAACTTATTTTACTGTTGTGAAAGACACATTTCACCAGCTCTATTTTTCAACTCATTTTCCTCTTTTTTCTTTTGGTCTTGGCACCCATTTAATCAATAATCTATTTTCTATGTCCAAGGCATGTCCAGAGGAGTGTGTGTGTGTGTGTGTGTGTGTGTGTGTGTGTGTGTGTGTGTGTGTAACTTCAGTGAAGCAATTGAGATAACTGTATGCCTAGCTAACAACACTGGTACAGTGGTTAGCACTGTGCAACAGCCTTTTCAGCTAAGCAACCTACCTGAAGCTAACTTTCTTCAAGAAACTACACCAGCCCGTAAACATGATGTTAATCATCATAACACTGTACAGTGTTTGAGTGCAAATGTAAAAGCCCTGAGGAGAGTATTTTAATGAAAGACATATGGACACAACTTTCCTCCCATAATGAGATGACTGAAGGGAGGAAGCAAGGTTCCCTGTATCTGGTATCCCCAATGGTAACCACAACACTTTACATACTCTGCTTACTACTGCTGCTGTTAGAATGACATTTTGCACATAAAACATAAGAAAACACAAAAGTGCTGTAACTGCTGCGACTGACAATAACATCTATAGCCATAAACTATGATATTACATGAAAATATGAGAATGGGGAAAATACTAAATATGAGCCTATTAAATGTTCTGCTTGCTCTGACTTATTGGTACTATACATTATTCCATCGGTCACTTGAATGTGTAAATGTATCCAGTAATAGTGTTCTCAACAATTCCACAATGGGACAGAAAAGTATGGCATGTACAGTACTTTCTGCTAACCATCCCACAATGTAATGCACAGCATTTTATGGGTGCATAAGACTGCTCCCCAAAACAACACATAGGGGCGTTTTCTGGACCAGTCCAACAACAGCATACAGGACTGAAGTATGTTACATAAATCATGTGACCTCAGTCACATAATGTTAACATGTGGGTGTTTAGGTTTAAGCAACAAAAACCACTTGGTTAGGTTTAGCTTCTGAATGGGCTCTACATTACAACTGTCAGTGATGACGCAGAATGAGGATGATTAGTTAGCGTACAAGGGAGTGATTTCAAAACACAGCCAAGCTAACTAAGGCTAATAGGTAGGTTTTAGTTAAGTTTGTTTGACATGATAACAAAAGAGACACAATTTTAAACTGTCGATGAGAACAACCAAAGAGTCCAAGACTTGCATTTTGGTCCTTGATGAAGACATAAAAAGGCATGCACTTAAAGATGAAGATAATTATTAAGATAAAAGCAGGTGTCTTGGAACTTCCAAGTAGCATTAGAAAGCTAATTTTGATTTACATAACGTAAACTGGGTGATGCAACGTTAGTTTTATTACAACATTTTGTCTCTTTTGGGGCTCCAATCAAGGAACTTGTTCAAGAGGTTTCATTTGTGCCAGTGATTTAAGTCTATTTTCCAAGACTCTGTTGACTTGTGTGGAATTGGATGCCAAATTTACAATTAATTGTACAAGCAGAATACAAGAGCGAAGAAGAGCAGGTGGTTTAGGAAGGTTGGGTATTTTTGCAAAGGCCAGGAGTGGCATGATTGAGGAGTGGTCATGTTCCTTAATGCCTGCTAGATAGCTCCAATTAGACCACCTCCCAGCTGAGATCTAACCTTTTAGCAGTGGGGAACAAAATCGCAACTAACTGTAACCCTTTCAAAATGTTACATCACACAGAATAATAAAATGTCCCCTTGCGGGTGTTTTTGAGCCAGAGACTACAGCAGAAGAATCTAAGAGCAGATTCATAACATTCTTTATATTAATCTTTATAGAGGAAAGATATATCAAGTCACAAATACACAAGTCATGTGGTTTCACAAGCCTTGCAAAACAGCTGACAGCATAGTGTTCCCAGTTCAGGACTAAACAGGCCTGGAGCCTCTCACGCACAGAATGGCAACACCATTTAACTGTTACACATTTAGTGACCCATGCTAATGACAAAAATATTCTCGTCTCCTCAAGGTAATCTATAAACAGTTCAAACCGAAAAAGCAAAACACAGTCATCCCCCTGACATGCAACATTTAAACATAGATATTTAAAAGATGAGCTTCTTGTTTTTACAGCAATATCCAACAGTAAGACACATGAGAAAAAACATTGGTGGATATATACATTAACTTACATAATCAATAGCTCTGTTTTTTATCAACAATATTTACACAGTAGTGGAGGAAATAAAAGTCTTCTTTCCCACCTGTTTGCCCAAAGTCACATAATGAACGTCCCTCTTTTGCATCAGTCACATTGCAGGTACTTGTCAGTTGTTTTGTCTTGTTTGGCTAGAGTAATCAACCCAGGAGTAATCAGCACAGATAGTGTTAAGTGACTGACAAATATACAAATGAAGTATTCTGTACAGGTCCACACGTTCACGCAAATAGTAACACAAACACGAGGCAGCAGTTCTTCCTCACAGCTAGGAAGGGATACACTGATGGCTGATCACATTACACTGAGGTACATTGAGCCATGTATTC